TTCCAAATAAAGCCATTACCTTCTACTCTAATAAAGTAAAGACATCAAAGAACATCTTACAAAAATCATTACAATTTCATTACTCCCTTCCTAGATTTTAATTGAAAATCAACAAATACCCATATATCATATTTATGATTTTGGCATTCTCTTTATCTTTGATTTGAGAAAAACTTGAAAAATGACTCTGAAACTTCTGGAGTAATGCCAACGATTGATGGGCAACTACTTGATTAATTTATAGACTGGATCCATTTCATATTATGTTGCTGTTGTTTTCAAATCTCTTTAGCTGCGAGCATTTCGTTCTTGGCAGCGCAATGCCTCCCTCAAGTAACCACATGTCCTTGTCACCTGGTCAACGCCAGAGTACAGCAGGCATTTCGTATTATAAATAATCATTATATTCTATTTAACAGGCCCAGTCTATAACTTAACTAAATAACAGCCCACGACTTAGGATTTTTATCAAAGACAATCTGAACAGTCACGGAATTGCACCACCCTGCTGAACTGCAAAACTGCATCAATCAACAAAATTTGTTAAACAGGAACACCAGAAAGCATGAACAATGTACGGTACATCTAGATTCTACACAACAAACACAAACGCATAAACTGACTGCTTCAGTTATTAGAGTAGACAAAAATTTATTGCAGCAACATCTGGCGCTCAGCATTTCCCCAGTAGCGCTCGGTCACAAAGATACTCATCATCACGTTCATTATCATACTGTATCACACTCATAACCATCATCATATTCATCATCATTCTTATCATATATGTGAGTCATCATCATCATGAAATCAGGCTCTCGTAAAATGGATGAAATTGAAGAAACTGACATTTTCCCCCGACTGTTAAGCAATTTGTAAAGACATTCAAACTTATGAAATCTCAAACTTTGGCAGGTATTTTCTCGATAATTTTACCTCTGACATCAGGTGACCCCCCCCAATTCCTTCAATGGCAAATATCTCCACTTCTATACAAAATAAATGAGCAATTTCTTCATTAAAAATGAGCAAGCTATAAGAGGTACCAAGAACTTCATTCCTTCAGAATTGATGATAGCCTGAAAACATTATATTTTGAACTATTATTCATCATGATCAAACTGTACTCAACACTCATTACCATCAACATAATAACCATCATCATACTATTTACTATATTCTCATACTCACTCATCATCACCCTTTTCACCATCACACTCATCATCATCCTATTCATCATCATCGTAATCATCGTCACACTCATCATCATACATCACTAATATGATCATACTCATCACAAACAGCTTAGACCACCACTCTTCAACCCAATGAACTGCCAATAGCACTAGCAGACAACCCTACATGATATACACAGCTGACTGCAAACAGACAACATACTACATACACCCAGTACGGCAAATAAACAACAAAGACGCTCTGTGGCCTCTGTATCCAGCATTCTGTTCAACATTCACGCGACAACAAATAGACAACAGACAACACAATGTCGCCAGTGGTTCCCTGCTCTGTCTGAGAACATTGCAAGACCTACAGAGACTTCTCAATAGCTACAAAATCTTGGCAAATTCAATTTACATGTCTTAAGTTTCGATGGTTGCTGTGCTAAAATATTAAATCAAACCCTTAGAACAAAGAGCTTTGCATACTTTTATAATAAAAAATTATATTTCGAATCACTATATACTTAAAAGCGACTAAAAATATCCATGCAATTTAACGAGTGTAAAAACGAAAAAGTTGGACACAAACACAAGATCAATCTAAGAACATCCCGCACAAAAAACAGCAAGGGCAGCAACTGTTGTCATTTTCCGCTCTCTCTTGCTGTAGTTCCCGAACATCCCGCTGCTACCCCCCCCCCCCCCCCCCCCCCCCCCCCTCCCCCACCCACTCAAACACACACACAGTAGTACAAAACGCTCCATAAGTAGGAGATAAAAAGAAACAGCTTATCAACTCGCTGTCTCTATTGTGCAGCATAACAATACTAATACTAATAATAAGAAGAAGAAGACATCAAACAACTTCACAAGTCATAAATACAACTGTTTGCTTGAGTAAAAAGCAGCACATCAACACAATGGTCATTTAGTGTAGGGGGAAAGTAAGACAAAGAGACAGAAGCAATAAAGGGACAGAAATGAAGAAGAACCTACCAGTAACGTCCTCTAGCCACCCACTTACATAAAACATCATGTTTATTATAATGTGTTTCTGCAGGTTGCATAATCTCATGACATAGATCTGGAGCAGGTGCAGTGAATGTGCCATGTTCTATGAGAACATCTGTTTTAAAATCACACCTCAGGATGCTAATTTTGTTCCAGATATAGGCCTGCCTGCAATCATTTATATAACACATGTCTTCACACATTTTGTCTGATATAGACAGCATTTGTGTTGCGCAAATCCCTGCTTAACAGCAAGCTCTATGCGCTTCACAGTCTATACTATTACCCCAGCAGACCTGAGAGCATTCTGAAACAACCTCAACTTCCTTGGAAGCATACAGTACAAGGAAGCGGCCATTTATAGGTGCTAAAACACTAACATACTGACAAGATCTTTCGCTGTCTATGTGGTACACCAGCATTATCACATCAGTTAATTAACACTTCGTCTGTTGACATCACATCCATATGGACAAATGGCCGCTGCAAGCAGCTGACTTATTCTTTACAGTGAAGTAGAAATAGAAAAAAAAAACAACCTTACAGCACCAGTTCATGTACAAACATGATGTACTATCTGACACAGAAATAATCATACTCTGAGAAAATGAATTTAATTCCCTTCCTTACAACAACTGAACATTTCTCCTCTCAAAAACACACAACAAATGTGAGGGCTGACCACCAAGTTACACTTCTCCAGAAAGAAAAAGGAAAACATCAGTCTTTTACAATGACACGGTCTAGAAAGGATGAAACATTGAACTCAAACAACTGTCATAAAACTTCGGTTTACACCAAAGAAAAAACCCATAACCCCCCAACAGAACAACATAAAAAAACCCCCACTGCACTCATGCAACTGTACTACAAAACAAAGGTAGTCTATGATCATCAATACCATAGATGCCAAGATTTTGATAACAGTAAAGTATACCCTCCCCCGCTCTCACAAATTTCAAAGTCCTTGACCTAAGGTCACAATGGGG